TGTTCTCAGAAGGCTAATTTATTGCTTTATGATACTATATTATATTAAAGAATACTATACTAAACTATACTAAAGAATACAGAATGGATACTAAGATAATTGTATATAATAGAAGGCTAAAAAGATAATAATGAAAACTTGTGACTCTTTCCAGAGTCCTGACACAGCTTGGCCCTGATTGGCCAAAGAGTGAAAACAACTCACAGCAGAATGCAATGGAACAATCACCTGTGGGTAAACAATCCCCAAACACATTCCAAAGCAGCAAAACACAGGAGAAGCAAATGAGATAAAAATTGTTTTCCTTTTTTTCTGAGGCTTCTCAGTTTCCCAGGAGAAAAATCCTGGGCCAAGGGGTTTTTTTAGGGAATGTGAATGCCACAGCCTGAGCCATGCCTTTGGGCTGAAGGGCTCCATAGGGATGTGGGAATGGAGACAGTGAGCAGGTGAATGAGGGAAAGCAGCTCAGGGAGCAGCTGTGCCTCCCCTGGAACCTTTATTTACTGGCATGGGCACAGGAAGGGCTGCTGGAAGGGGAATTGCCTGGCAGTTACATTTCTCCCTTGTCTTTATAAGCAAATCTTCTCTTTAATACCTTCATCAGTTTTCTCTGTTTCCCCACTCCGTTCACCTGTAAAGACAGAAAGACAATAATTACTCCCTCTGCTTTCACAGTGTTGCCCTCCAATTTGAAAGGTTATATCCAAGGAAAACTTTTATTCACTTTGTCACGATAGTTTGAGGTTGTTCTTTTGATAAAAAATGAGCAAATAAAGTTTTAGAGAGTATTTGAGATTTCCAGATATTGTTTAGTAGATGGCAGTATAACTTTGATGTCTAAAAATAGAAATGAAAGGGATTTTTACCATCAACACTTTCTGTGTTAACTTCATAAGCAGTAACATTTTCAATTTCTCCATCCTGGATGAAGCTACTTTCTGTGGTCTTCAGGTCTCCAAACTGCAAAACATTTATTACATTGTGTAGTCTTGTGAGAAGGAGGGGGGAAAGAGGGAAAATCCCCCTCAGTACATTCAGTCTGCATGTTTAAAGTAACATTTAAATTTCTTGGTCTGTCAGGTGTGGATGCTTGTTTAGCTGTCACCTCTTATGTTTGACTTGTGTAACAACCAAACAAACCAGGATAAGCTGATTTGTCTTCCCAGTTAAGGATTTCTACATCAGATCTCTTGGTGGGACTGCAAAAGGTGGAGAAGGCTGCAGAATTTTGCAGAATTGCCTTTTTTCAGTGGGTTTTTGTAAAGCAGTTTTTGAGTTTAGTTTCACTGAAACTGTTTGAGAGATACTGAATTGGAAGAGGTGGGAAGTGGCAGTGAACAAGAAGGTAACATAAAGGATCTTTTATTCAGCATTATATACTCACAATTGTTGGTACTTCTTCAAATTCTGTGTCGTTTCTGTCTCTGAAATCACTTGTTGCACTTTCTTCTCCTTCTAGAACTGAACTTGCTGCATACAATTTTAGAAAATTAGTCAGGATTTTCCTTGGTAGTCACATGCTCTGGCTCCTCTGAAAAATAATCTTTATCAAACATGACCTCTGTGTGGTATTGGGTCTCCCTGCCCTTGCCCACATGGGAATGGGAAATTATTTGGAATAAGCTTGAATTCTTTATACTCTCGTCCAAAGCAGTAGAATAAAAAGCTGAAGCCATCACTTAACTCTGGTACAACCTTGAAACATACTGGTGACTAACATTTTGTCCAAGAAATTATTTCCTTTTTTATTAAGAAAAGCTTCTCCAAAGTGGATGTGATGATTCCAGATTTCAAGCTAAGAATTACCTACTGTATTGGGATATATTCCTTCAAGCATCTTCCATTTTCTAAAATAGGAAAAGCTTTCTCCCATCTTTCAGCTCAGGCCCAGCTGCAATCTTTCTTTTTAGACCTGCCATCAATGCTTATGGGTGCAGCTATAATTTGGAAATATTCTTACACAAATCAGTCTTGAGGCTTTCCTAAAGTTGCAAAGCTTATTTGGCATAATTTGAATTTTTAGATAGCAATGTAAGGGCTGTTTGTTTGTTTTTATTCTAGACTCCTAGTTCATCTGTGCTCTTTGATAAAATGGATATTTAGATTTTGGCCCACACAGTGCTGTTAATTTATAAATACAGCCAGAATTCATCAATGGGGAAATGAGCTGGAATAAGGTAGAGCAGGAAAGGCAGGGCAGTGTGGAGATAACTGGCAGTACCAAAAATGTGCTGAAAACCTGAAAACCAAACTATCACTTAATTCCATTTTGTGCTGATTCATAAACCTGGGGCAGGCAGAGTGTGGTGTTAATGTGCTGTGAGAGCTCCTGGGAGTTTGTAATTCCTGGTGAATTCCAGATAGCAGTGCTGAAATTTAAGCAAAGAGCTAATACTAAATGTCCTGAGCAAGAACTTGGGGCAAAAACAGCACTGAAAACTTCTTTCCTAGACTCCAATTTTGCATCTAACTTCTGTTTTTCAAAGCAACCAGATCAGAAAAAGGACAGCTCTTCACAGTTCTTTGAAAAAATGAAAATTACTGTATCATTTGAATATATTAGGTATGAGAAATATTCACAAGCTTTTTGTTTTATTAAATCATAACACTTTCTACTAATGACACTTTTTATTTAGTGTTCTGAAAACATTCTCATCTCCTCTGCATTGGACAATTTCTGAATTGCTGGATTGATTCCAAATACTTTTTATGGAAAACTTTGATACTCCTAAATGCACTCTATTTGTTTTATAAATTATATGGAGGCAAGTAAACAGCTTTTGTTCTGTGACTGAAATTAGAAAGGATGGGCATTTTGCTTGATAGCAGCCAGAAATTAATAAAAAGGGTAAAATCTCTTTGGATCAGCTGTGTAAATATTACTCAGAATTTTTTTTTTTCTTTAATTGTGAGTTCTGTTTAAATTTTGTTCATTTTTACCTGCCCCTTTTCATATAAATATGTTATTTCAAATAAAAAAGCCAATATTTAATTTTAAAATTAGTAAAAAAATGTACTGGCAGCTTAGAGAAAATTTTTCAAGCAGAAGATGAATGATTTGCCATTGAGAAAAATAAACCCTGGTTTTGCTTGAAACTCTCATTTGCATTCTACTGGAAACTTGCAAATATTTTTCCTTGGCTTTCAAAACTATTTTCTGAACCAAACTAGAAATTTTTTATCCATCCCAACCAATAAAAGACTGAGAGCTTTGTCCCATTTCTAAGAGAGCAAACACTGAACTAAACTTAGATGTCTAATTCCATGTTTACTGAAGTAAATAGAATTTTATATTTCTGTATCCTAATAAGCCTGACTACAGATACAGTTCCTATTTAGGAGCCAAAAGGATTTTCAGGTAGCACTTTAGGCAGTAATAGATGAAGAAACTATATTCATGTTATGCCAACATGAGGCCAAATATAGTGGCTAATTAAGCCAGTCTCCCAGAAATCACTTAATAATCCATGGAAAGACTAGAACAGGGTAAATCAGATTCCAAATTAGACGTTAAAAATAATGGTTTGGTCATTTTTGATTGAAATACCCAAGGTATTGTTGAAGTTGCATAAAGTGGGCTGACTGTTTGTTGTATATTTAGACACTCTCTAATATCAATGCAATTTAAGGTATAGCACTATTTTATAATCCTAATTTTTTGCTTGTTAAACCATATTTTTAAAATACAATATTGTGATGTGCAATCACAGCTATGTAAATGTTAAGTGTGAACAAAGAAGCAGCAATAGAACTCAGCAGCACAAATGTGTATGGATCAGTTTACCTTGTAATCCCAGTCAGAACTGAGGAAACATCCTTTATTCACTAGTTGAAAATAAGCACTGATGGAGAAAACCAATTACTAGAGGAAAATCCCCCAGCAGAAGGTGAAATAAATTTTGCGAAATTTTATTTTTGCAATATTTATTTGCAAATTTTTAACAACAAGCAGCTTATTGGGAGAAGCTGCTTATACTCCTGGCATGGCAGCAGCTTTCAGTCCTGAAAACTGCCTGAGAGTGAAGGCAGGAAAGGAAAGCATGTCACACAGCAAAGGTGAGGAAAATCAGTGAATGTCACAAAGAAATATAAAATAATTTTTCTTTGTGTGATGATTTTTGCAGATTCTTGGCCATGAGTGGCAAGAAAACCTATTTCAGTGCTTTTGCCCTCTGATTGACAAAAGGAGGTGGCCCAGATTAATCTTGCCTAATTTTAGGTTCTTAATAAAGGCACCTAAATAAAGTGAAGACTTGCCCTTATCTTCTTTGATAGTCTGTAGGGAAAAACAAATTCCTCTGGAAGATAACTCAGCTCACCTGAGATTTGGGTCATCCTTGGTAGTGCTGCCTTTCCTTAATTGCAAAGGGAAACTGGAATATGGCTTCCCTGTGAGCTGCCCAAGGCTCAGACTGATCTGATCTGGTTTCTGTCACTCTGAAGGTCTTGTCCCAGCCCTGTTCAAGCTGAATTCTGTATCTGATGCAGCATAATGCCTGGATTCTATTTCCAGGTTCATTTTAGACTGACAGTGGAGGTGACTGGCTGGTGGTTAGACCCTACCAAATAATTACCCAGAGAAAGACTGGGAGGCAATTTTTATTTGTAGGAAGCAACACTGGCTACTAGACAGCTCTTTGTCAGAGAAAGTCATAATGAAGTTAAATATTGAAATGAAATTGGACTTTAAGCTTGTTTCGCTGTACCCAGTACAGGGCTCAGCACCACTGCCACCAAAGGGGATGGAGATGGGGCTGAAGGGGTGTGTGCCTGTGTCATTCCTGGGTTTCATCTGATGTGGGCCAAATGTAGCAAGAGTCAGGGCTGAGTGGTGCATCTGCATGTGTTCTTAATATTATCTCAGAGGAGGTTGTAAATAAAAACATTGCCTCGCAGTGCTGGGCTGTCTCCAAGGAGCCCCCTCTGTTTGCAGCTATATGTTGCTGCAGATGTGAATTAATCATTGCATCCCTTTCTGCCAAAGCTCCAGCTGGGAGCCCCTTCAGTTCAAAGCCCCAGCTGCTCTCAGGCTGCAGCTTCTCACACCAGGACAAAATTTGATGTCTTTAAAAGTTTAATACTACTTTGAAAAACCTCCCTTGCTTAAGCATCCCATGACCCACTTAGGGGAAGCTGAGCTCACTACCTGCATGCACAGAGTGACAATTTACTAGAGAAACCTCTTAGAGCTGCTCTCAGAGCACAGTGGTTGTGTTGGAAAGGAGAGGGAGTTGTAAAACTGTTGTTCATTAGCATTTCTTTCAGGTATCTCCAAAACCAACAAAGACACTTCTGAAGATGAAATATGTTGTAAGATCTTGCTTCTTTCCTTGCATAAACCAAAATAAACCCAAACCCCAGTGGGTAAAGGCAGTTGTAAGCCTGTATTTTAGCTTAGTCCTTGAAATAGTAAGCCCTCAAAATAGAATGTTTCCATTTCTGATAAGAGACCAGGAGATAAAAATGGCAAACCTTAAAGGATTCCCTCCAGCAAGAACTGCACTAATCCTTTGCTCATTGCCCTCTGCTTCTACATGAAGAAAAAACCCAAAAAACCCAAAACCCAAAAAACCCAGATTCAGTTATTTATAACAGCTAAAAATATTAACTAGCAGAGAGTTTAGCAGGATGGGTCACTTGGGACATATCACTTTTCTGTTGGAGATGTAGCAGAGCAAACATCTGGAGCTGACTGATGGTTTTCAGTTTCTGCTTCCGGAATTGGTGCAGACCAAGGGGTGTTGTTTGAAAGACTGAGTGTGGATGAGAGTGTTGGCCTTCCTGTTTTGACTGCATTTTATTCAGCATTTATGTCCTGATACAGGAATTCCCTTCCTGCAGAAGTATTCTTCACTTAGAGACCTTCATTTGATTGTGAGCAAACTGAGTCTTAGTATCTCATAATTGGAATTGGTTCTGTTGTAGTTCATTGCAAATTTCTGATCATGGTGGTGGAGGTTGAACAAAAATGTTTGATTTGCAAGGGATCTGCCTTTTAAATACAGCAGCTCTGTAACTTTCAAAAGCAGTTTTGTCTGTGATTTGGCTTCATCCTCAATTTCAGCGTATTCCAGAGTCATGTCCAAAACCTTCAACATTAGATTAATTTTGTCTAAGAATAATTTTCCATTATTTTTATATTTTTGGATTTTTTTAAAGTATACAGATGTCTCTTTTGTTGTGAAATCATTCAACACTGCCAAATCCAAGACACAAAATTTTTTTGCACTTTGAAAATGCAAGGGTTTGAAGAATATAATGTAGTGGATTCTGGTGTTTGAATTTTGCAGCTTGAATCTTTGGACAGTTACAATTTTCAAACTTCAGAAAAGTAGGGAAGTTTGTTAATGAGAACTGAAATTCTCATTTGTGCCTGGGGCTCCTGCAAAATCATATCTGCAGTATCCAGAGAGCTCTGTGTCCTTGGCCTGTTTGGGGCCACAACATTGGCATTTTCTTTCTCTCTTAAT